GTCAAACTTTTGGTGTCGATCATTCGATTTCATCCTGGACACTACAGAAAATGGGCTTAAAGTGTAAAAAACCGAACTTCTCCTTTAAGTTAGGCTGGTAAAACTTCTGAGCTAATGGCTAAAGTTAGCATGGAAAAACCTCGGAGCTAATGGCTAAGGTTAGCATGGAATACCTCAGAACTAACTGCTAAACATGGCCTTGAATACCTTACAGCTAAAGTTAGTTGTAGAAGTGAATTTCTTTTACCGGCTCAACTGAATATATAACTTTATATTTCAAATTTGCCAATCACAGGCAGTTTAGTTTCCGACAGAAGTTGACATGAGTGTAGAGAAACAGATCCACATCCTTGTAGCAAAGAATCTAGGGGGGTGGGGGATAAAAAGCAACAGAATGCAGACAAGGAGCATAGACTCATTCGTACTCATGAAATACTGGGGCATCATGGTGTTAGAGTTGGATGCATACAACATTCAAAATGCTGTGGAGAGTAGTTTACATGCGTTGGTTTCAAATAAAACTTCTTGTATCAGTTTTCATTACAGGTGTCCACTTTTGGCCAAATTCTCATATCTCAGCCCCACTCAGCCCAGGTTTATCACAAAACCTGCTGTAGTTCCCTGCTGCAACCTTGATCTCAGTGTTTAAACACGACCATTATCAGTAACACAATTCGGGAAAGTAAACAATGGAGAGCAACATGTCAGGAAGCCAGGCGTAGTAAGTGTGGTTTATTGTTTAAATGGTGTAACGTAAATTAGCGGGTCAACCCGATGTAGGTACCAGATCTGCTCGGGCCCTGCGCATGCCAGTGATGTTACGATATATGATTGGCTGAACGTGCCCACATGACATGAAACATTGTGGTTGCCCAGACAGCAACTGTAATAACTATGCAGCGTCCATGTGCCGAGTCGAAAGCATCTGTAATGTTAGCGCATCTTATGACTGATTAAGTTTTACCTGATTGATAACAAAGCTGAAAGAAATCTGCTCAGTCTATCTAAGAAGGCAGTACTTTAATTCAAGACTGAAAATGGTTGTTTTCTACTTACGGCTACTTTAGCCAGTGAAATGTTAAATAATAGCAAATATCCGTAATAATATGTTGACACTGGAAGAGATCTGATTGGTAAGAAACGGATGAAATATAGTTTGTCAGAGTGGAGTTGCCATATTATGATGTCATAGGAAAAGGGCAGGGCCCCGAGCAGATCTGGTACTTACACCGGCTCTGGTGTTCATACAACATTGCGATCAGAGCCGAGGTGATTTTAACGCGGGTCGCTTAACGAGTCATTTTACCCGGGTAGACACGAATCAGTGAGCTATTCCTACTGCCACTAAAAGCTGATTGTTCAGTTTTTACGGGGTTTCGGCCACTGAGAAAGGGGTATTTTTTACGGAAGCGTATCGCATTCACCAAAGAAAAAAAAATCTGACAGCTTTTCTCATAATTACGAGATCAGTATTTCTTAATTACGAGATCTTTTCTCATAATTACGCGATATTATCTCGTAATTACGAGATCTTTTCTCATAATTGCGATATATTATCTCGTAATTACGAGATAAGCTGTCAGATTTTTTTTTCTTCGGTGAATGCAATACGCTTCCGTAATTTTTTGCTCTTCCAGACGATTATACGAAACCTTAGAATGTATACCTTATAGTAATATTTATGGGTAGGAAAAACTATAACATTTATAGAGACGTATAATTAATTATACTTATACTTATTAAAATTATAAGTATAATAATTAATTGTAATTTTTATATATTAAAAAAACTGTGAGGCTGACTAATAGCTTCTCCATTATTAAACTGGTACATTATTTTTTTTTACGTTTGTGACACAATATTGGACAGATTGACCTTCACAAGCCTCAGTCGGGCAAGATTTATGTAAAAAAGTAAACCTGTAGATGACATTTTTTGTTTTTATAAAGTGTTTTTATAATGTTTTTTGTTGTTGGCATTCATATAAACATACTGGTGTGATAACTTAGTATTTTAAATGGTTTTTGGTAGATGTCTATTTTGAATTTATAGCCCCCCCCTGGAGAAAACTCCACCAGTTAATGTGACTATGCACCTTTATCTGCTGTATTTAGCTGGTAATACATGGAATCTACTGTGTAATTAATTGGCAATTAATGGGTAATTCAGGGCAGTAAGTTGAGTATAATTACCTACTAACCATATTTATTACACAGGGTAACTCACTATGTAAGGTAACTACATGATAAACTGTCAAAGAAAGGGTGATTGAATATTGTCCAAAAGTGTTGCGGTACATCGGTTTGTATGTGTTCATATGTTTGTGTATTCAAAGCATGAGCCAAAGCTCCAACGCTTGGTCGCTGACACCTAGGGTGACTGAAGACACCTGTCTGTGCAACCTGAGCACACCTGTCTCTGTTTCACCAATCTGGTGAATTCATGTGTGTGAGTGCAGATTTATTTCCATCTCTGCGAGAATCGCCTGAAGCTTTCAAGTCATGGTGAGACAGAAGGTTTTTGCCTTATCTGCTGAGAGATTAACATGGAAATCTGGCAGTTAGGTAAAGGATCCTGTGTAGTTTGAACTCAAAAACGATGGTGCTATAAGAACGTGGCGTATGTGTTTGAGGTAAATAGACACTGCGTCCTGCAGTGGTGCACCTGCGCTGGGATGTAATATTTATAGGGTGGCACAGTGTCTGTGTTTCATGCTACAGGACACGACGACGGGATTTAACGTGGAACAGCCTCTGAACCACTTCTGGTACTCGTCCACAGGCTCGGACTAGTAATCTGTGATACCAGGCATTTACCTGGTGAGCCGGTCCTAATTTCAGCATTAAATCATTCCGGCGCCAACACTTACCCTCAGGCTGAAGCATCTACCTGTGACAGTAAATAACTCCTGGAGCTCAAGGAGTAATACAATGTTAACTA